CTCTTCGCTTGTCGTGGCAGGGTGAGGAGGGCGAACTCTGCCTGGAAAATGGCAGCAGGGGCCAACGCAGGCCGCAAGTGCGACGTGGAGCTGTGGTCGCTGGCACACCCCCATCAGCAAGCCGCGCCCCTTCCCATTACGCCCTACCCTCCGCAGTCCGCTCACGTTGTCGGGGCTGGCCTCCAGCAGCGTCCAGCCGCTGCGGCCATGCGATCCCTCTAGTAACAGCCACACCCGGCCATTTGTTCCCGCGCCACGCAGGTCTGACGTCACCACAGCCACCTCGTAGCGCAGCAAGCCGCCGCTGCCGCCCCCTCCCAGGCTGACGAGGCTGGCGCCAGTGAAGCCTGCAGAGACGGGGCTGGCCTCGAGAGCAGCAGCAGCACCACCACCACTGGAGTCGCGGGCCGGCAGCAGCACCTGAGGTGATGTGTGTTGTGTGTGTTTGTGTGCGTGTGCGATTATGCCGACAGAAAAGGCATAGCATTGTGCAGTGGTATTGCTGCGGATACGGCTGCGGCTGGGAGTTGCGCGCAAACCCCTGCAGGCTCACCTGCTGCAGAGGCGCAGCCTTGCTCTCATGTGGTACGTCCAACCAGCGCCCCGAGGGAAATACCGTGGTCACACCCCTGCTCATGCATGTGTATGGGTATTTGCATAACTTTGGTTGTGCACTAGTTATGTTTGCAGGTGCGAGTGTGTGCACGCGACCGCAGCGCTGTCTGTGCATACACAGCGCCAGCAGAGCGCACAGTTGGCCAGAAAAGTGTTGCTGCTCTGACAAATTCTTGGTGGATAGGTGAGGTTGGGCAAGCGGACATACATCTCCACCCTGAATCCAATGAAACAAATGCAGCCGCGAACCCCTGCTGAATGCAACACCAACTCTGACCCGGGAAGGGAATGCGAGCGACGGCAAGGGTCGAATCCGGTGACCCATGGCACCCCTGCGTCCCCCCCCCCCGCACCCACCGCCCCAGGTCTGTGACCTCCAGGCCCTCCAGCAGCCACGACACGGGACATCCCCCGACAGCCTCCAGGGCGACCTGTCATGGTACAATGATGTGGGATGGTGGTGGGAGGAGGCCGACCGTACAGCATGCTGAGACTGCAGGCCCAAATACGCTTCCATGGCAAGATGGTGCACTGGCCTGATGTAGCAATGAGCTGTGGCCAATTGCAAGAACAATTCGCCTTTGCCTGCCTGCGCTCATCATCCCCAGTCAGTACCACCCACCGTGGTGCTGGTCACCTCCCCCAAGTCGCGGCAGCGCAAGGTGAACGCCGCGGCACCACCAGGCGCCAGGGAGTCGCCACTGACCTCCACCCGCTGCACGCCGCTGCTCACGCTGCGCACCGCGCCGTCGCCCGGCGCAGCTGCACCAGTCCCAAACAGGGTCAGGGACAGCGCCACAGCCAGACTTCGGCCACGTTCGCCGTCGTTCTCGGTGGTATCGGCGCCCCAGCAACCGCGGCTGCCCCCGCCGCTGCCGCTTCCGCGCGCAGCCACAGTTCTGACAACGACACGGTATGACGCTCCGCGCCCAGCAGACCCGCTGACCTGCCGCCCGGGCCAAAGCTGCACACGTGCACCACGCCTGCCGCCCCCGCTCCTAGCTCCAGCGTCCCAGGCCTGGCCGGCGGCCTTGAGCCCAGTGCCGGCCTCCTTGTCGCCGATCCAGCCCTCGTAGGGGAAGTGGCAGCGCGCCCCATCCACCAGCCGCAGCACCTCTACCCCCGCCAGGCCCCAGCGGGCGCCGCCGGCCAGGCCCGCGAGCGCACCACCCAGGGAGGAAACGTTGCGGCCCCTGGGGACGAGCCCTATGTCCAGGGCGGTGAGCTCCCCGATGTCATGAGGCCCTACGTCCACCACAAACTCATCAAGCTGTGGGGCAGCGATCGGGGGTGGTTGAGGTGCGCGGCGGCTAAGAAAGTGGCGAGGTGGGACGGGGGGTTCAGTGGGGTGGGAGGAGGGGTTGGCTGTTGTGGGTGAGCTAGCGCTCAGTAGGGTACTGTACGCGCATATGACGACATCCATAAACACGTGTGTATGATTTCAATTGGTCATTGAGATGCGCCAACGGCCTAGCATAGTGCGTGGCTGGCCTCGACCTGCGTCCCGCCCTGCCTCGCCCACCCGGCGCGCACCTTGCCGCGTGAGAAGCTGTCGGCGCTGCGCTCCAGCAGCAGCTCGTCACTGCAGCCCTTCTCGCCCATGAGGCGCACGCTCACAGCCGCAGACGTCCCAGCGCCGCGCGAGTCCAGGGTGCTGACGGTCAGCTTGTACCTGAGGTGAGGAGGAGGCGGACGTTCATGCCCAGGCGGATGGTTGCCGCCATGCAGGACGTCGGGGGCAAGCACACGCGCAGGACGCTCAGGCGGCCTCAGGTGACATCATGCACATTGCCACCAGTGCTGCGCCATGCAAACCTCCCAGCGTACAATGTGCTCACTTGTAGCTGCTGGGTGCAGGCGGCACGTAGCTGCTCAGTGATGCGTCAAGGGGCTGGAGCTGCACAGAAGCCGGCGACACGGCGTCATCGCGGCGACAGGGCGAGGTGCTGCGCTGTGACGACTCCAGGCCACGAGAGCGCGGACTGGGCGGCGCCTGGCAATTGGAGGTTGCAAGCACAGAGGTGCAGTCTTCAATAAAAGCAGCATGACAAAAGGCCAGGTGGGGAGCTGGCAAGCCGACATGTAGAACCACTCCACCATGATGCACGCACCGGGCTCGGCAGCACCCACTCACCCGCCGCAGCAGGTCAGTGGGGCCCTCAGCATTAAACCCGACCTCGGGCCACAGCCTGGCAGGCGCCGCCTGCTCAGCAGACGTCGGCCCCTCATCAGCAGCACGGCCGTGCGGCTGCGGATGGGACGGCCTGCATGGCGACTCCGACTGGGCTGCCTCTGTGTCCTGCAGGGGCTTGGACGCCAGCGCGTGGAAAGGCGACAGCGGCTGCCGCGACGGCACCGCCTGTGATGGCAGTGGCGACTCTGACAGTGACCGGGAGCCCGACTGTGTGCGCAGCGGCGGCGTCTGCCACGGCGATGGTGATGGCTTGCCCCGCGCCGTCAAGACATGCTGCGGCGATGGCGCCTGCTCCAAGGAGCACCCCCTTGGCGACCGCTGCTGCACGAATGTTTGCTCCTCCAGCGTATGATGCTGCTCCAGCAGCTGCTGTAGCTCTGCAGAACGCTGCGCTTGCCAGGCAGCCGAGCGCGGCAGGCCGCTGTCCGCCCCGCCTGGTGTGAGCGTGACCCAGGTCTGTCCGTCCTCCTCATCAGTGGCCAGCCACCTGTTGGCCGGGAGCTTGATGCAGGGCGCCCCGGGACGGAACACGATCACCTCATGGAGGTGCCAGGCGGCGTCGTGGCCGTTGTTATCATGGCCGATGCGCACAGCGCGTAGCTCGCCCACAGCCGCCACCACCTCAAACTCGTCCACGCCACCTGGGGTTTCAAGGTGGGTTTTGTAGTGGAAGAGTCGGGAGTTAGGGGCCGAGAATTCAGAGCAATATCAGGGGTGCCATGGGCATGCTCGGGCGTGCCTGGGCAGTGCTGACCCGGGGGGATGCCCCTTCCGGGGTCCCGCCATCAGCGCACACCAGCGAGGCCGAGGCGCCGTGCGTGCAGAGTCGCCAGGTGATGCCACAACCCCAGCTTACCTCTTCTGAAGCAGCGACCGTCATTGCTGAGGGGGTGGGGCCCGCTGCTGCCAGCGGTGCCCACCAGTACCACTGCCACCGCTGCGTCCGTCCCAGCACCCTTGCAGTCCGATGTTTTGACCGTCACCTTAACGGGGGTTTCGCGGGCAGGGGCAGCAGGTAAGGGGTGGGGCGATGAGAGGTAAGGTAGGACCGAACGAGGTCAGCATTGGCAGAGCGCCTGGCACCAGCCCAAGGGTTTGGAAGTTACAAGTGTGTGGCCAAGCAGTGCTGATCGGGCTGTCCGATGCACCAACACCGGTGGTGCATCCTGACTCCCCTTCCGCCCTTCCGCTTGCCGCGTTGAGAGGGAACCTGCCATGTCCCCCTTCTCAACCCCTCACCCTGTAGCACTCGTGTCCCACGGCACGTAGCCCATTCAGGCCTGACAACCCCATCAGGCCGTGCCCCGCTCCAGCAGGCACCTTGCCCCTCCCCAGCATGCGAGCTGTCTGGCCGTCGCCCTCGTCACGTGCAAACCACATCCCTGCGTTGCCAGTGTCAAAGTGGCATAGGGCGCGGCTTGCATACTCGGTCACGGGCGCCGTCACTACCATGCAGCCATGCATCACTGGACAACACGCTGTGCAACAAAAAGCTCTTGTCAAAAACCACACGCCACCCACCGCAAGGAAATGTGGCGGGAGGGTCCCCTGAGCCCCGCTTGACGGCTGTGGCTCCAGCCAAGTGCCAGCGCGGTCGCGCGCCACAGCCGTCGTGGCCAATGCGCAGCCGCAGCAGTGGCCCCAGGTCCTGTCGGGCAACATGGGCGGGTTTGCAGACCATTGGAGTGCGCCATATTATCAAGCGCCGAGCTGATGTCTTGATGAGACGATGTGCAAGCCTGTGCATACTGTCGCAGCAGGTTCCTGATTGCAATTCTCATCGCCTCCATTGCCAGCTGCATCCCAGTACCTTTGGCGCCCACACCACAAAGGTGTCCAGCCGGCCGCGAGCAAAGTTGTCTGGGTGGTTGTCCAGTGCCAGCTCACCGCTGTCCCCCTGGGTGCCGAACAGTACCGCAAAGACACCACAGTCCGTGGCGGCGCCCCTGGTACAAAAGGGCAGCAATAAGGTCGCAACACAATTCACTTATTGAGACGAGCAAGCTGCACTGCACAACTGGAGCCCCGCAGACGAGGTCGTGGCGGCCAAAACCCGGATCTGCAAGGCCCCAGCATCAGCCTGCTGCACAGGCGCGTCGCGTATCTGAATCAAATGCCCGACGCCTTGACTGGCCTCTCAAGCCCCCCGTTGCCCCCCTCCAAAAGAGACTACTTGGCCCCCTCCCCGCACCTCATGTCGCTGGTGAGAGTCGAGATCTCATATGCCACGCGGCCTTCAACACCGCTGTGCCCAGCGGCGCTGCTCGCCACATGCCCTGCTGCTGCGTTCATGCTGAGACCTCGCTGGCCCATCCCTGCATCATCACCCACAGGCAAGGGATCCTCGGAGGCCACCGGCACAGCAATGGCGGTGGAGCCGATACCAACTGTCTGTGACTCCGCAAGTGCTGAGGCCCAAGCTGTGACGCTGCTGAGATCTGCAGATCGCGCGCTTTGCGCTACCGCACAGGCCTTGGATGCTGCCTCTGCTGCCTCTGCTGCGGCTGTTGCGACAGCCGCGGCTGCCACAGCCGTGGCGGCGGCAGAAGTTGCCTGCGACACATCCCTGATTTGCTGCCCTTGCTGCTGCTGGTGCTGGTGATGCTGCTGCTGCTGTGGTTGTTGGTCCTTTCCAGGGGGCTGCTGCTGCTGCTGCTGCTGCTGCTCCTGCTGCTGCTGCTGCTGCTGTTGCCGCGCATGCTCTGGGGTTGTGGACATTTTCAGCTGCTCATGGGGCCGCTCGGGTATTATGCCCTGCTGCTGCTGCTGCTGCTGCTGCTGCTGCTGCTGCTGTTGCTGCTGCTGGTGTGGCTGCTGCTGCTGGTGGTCCCGCGGCTGCTGCTGCTGCTGGTGCGGCTGCTGCTGGTGCAATGGCCGCTGCAGAGTCGTTGGGGCAGGCTGGACCTCCGCCTGCACCCCTATGGGACATGGCGGCTTGTCCTGCCCCAGCCGCTCCTCCTGCCGCCGCTGCCATTCTTGGATCAGAGAGGCCGCGGGACGTGGCGAGCGCAGTGTCCTCAATTCTGTGCCGCTGCCCGGCAGCTTGGTATCATCTTTGCCGCCGTTATTGACACCATTGCCGCCCTCGCCCATGCTGCCACCCTGCAGGTCTTCATCGCCGTCCACCACATATGCCTGCGGTTGAGGCGACGCCCCCCTTGGGCGAGAACCTTCGTCCTGAAGCTGCTGCGCGTCATGCACCACACGCCACTGCAAGGGAGGGGGCGGGCCATCAAACGTTTACACATGACGCAATTGCCAGCGATGGCAAAGGGAAAGCTTAGGGGCCTATGGTATGCTGATGGGTGGTGCTGCGCTGCTGTGAACCTGGACATTCGGCTCTGCCAGCACGTTGCGTGTCCTCACCTGGAACAACGCCCTGTCGCGGTCGCCAGTGCTGACCAGCCACTTGTTGCAAGGCGAGAAGCGCAGTGCGCTGATGCCTTCTGAGTGTCCGCAGTGCTCCCTACATGGTGGTGATGCGAAGTCGCTTGCAGAAGCTGCGGTTGTGCGACACACGCTGGGGATGCGAGTGACTGGGCATCAAGCAGAACGACGGGCCGCGGATCTTGCTGCAAGCACCCGCCGCAAAATAATGGCCACCAATACTATGCCTGCACGACTGTGCGCCTTCTCACCTGCAGGGTGCGTCATTCACAACGCATGGGTGGCTGAAGAGCCTCACGATGCCGTCACGCGACCCCGTGGCCACCACATGGCCGTCTGACGCTGACAGGGGCCCGGCTCCGCTCAACGTGTCAACCTCGTTGGACCTGGGTCGGTTGTTTGGAGAGGACATTTGCAGGATGCAACGAGCCATGCAGCTGATTGTTTAACTAGGTCCTACCAACCCGATATGCCGGTTGTCGTGTTCACTTTCCTCAGGCCCAAAGGGCATACCAAAGCTGCAGAGGCATCAGGCAGGCTCAACGCCCAGCAGTGTGCAGCGGGCCCTGCCCCTCCTAGTGCCACCCACTACTTGGTCTGGGGGTTGAAAGGTTTGCAGCCTGTATAATCCTCAATCCTGCAACCCAACTCCGACCCCTAATCTAATTTGATGCCACCCACCTGTCCACTGCAATGATGTCACCATCATCGGCCCCTTTCCGCCATATGCCCATCACACCAAACCCCAGGATGCTGCTGTGGGTGGCCCAGGGGATGTTGCGCGTGTTGCGCTGCACCTGCAATTTGGGGGTGGTGACAATGATTCATGTTAATTTGCCGCACAAGGGTCGGTGTCAAACGGCCTGCATGCAATGGGTCGGCCAGCGCACGTTGCACTCTCTGTTGATGGGCAACTCACCCTCCTTCCCGTGGCTGCGTCCACGGCCACGAGGTCAAAGCTGTCGCCGCCTGACAGCACCAGAGTCCCGTCACATGACCAGTCCAGCGTGCGCACAGCACAGCCTCCAGGGTGGTGGTCACGGCACGTGAACGCCATGCTGTACACCCTGATTGGCAGCAAAACCAGGGGGTGTGGAGGCGTGAGGGCGGGGGGGGGGTGCTTCGGAGGAAGAAATTTTGAAACTCGGGGCTGAAGACGCTGCGCAATAACCTCGATGGTTACGGCTGGTAAGAATGTTGCACAACATAGCAGCCCATCCTCTGCGTTAATCAACCTCAGGCCTGTGCCTGACTCACCCCCCATCGACACTGTAGACAGTCATGCTGCCATCTGCAGATCCCGCGGCCAGGCGCTCCCCGCCTGGTGAGAACGCAAGGGACTCGACACCCTTCGGGCCCTGGGTATTCGGGACAAGGGACAGGTGCAGGACAAGGTGACGGATGATGGGCTCGAGTAAGACTTTGCAAACATTGTATGGAAGAGGGCTGCGGCTGCTTTCGCGCGGCCGTCGCCATCACCACCTCTCGGTGACCAACCACAATGCGAACGTACCCCCAACCTGTCAGCCCCCTTTCTTCCCAACTCTGTAAGCCAGGGCAAACCTGATCCAGCTCTGCCACAACGGTGGACAGCTCATTGGCAGCCAGCACTCTCACGATGCCCGTGGTGGTGCCCACAGCCAGGTGATTGCCATCCGGGGAGAAGGCCAGGCAGTGTGCTGGAACGCCGATGGTCACCTTGGCCTGGGGATATTTGAGCAATGCGTGTCAGAACAGGCTTGTACTTGAAGGTATCCCCCGGTTCATGACTAAGCTGCTAAGCACCCTCTTTGTAACCACCGTGGTGGGTCACTCACAATAAGACCGTGGCGGCGCGCATGCCAGATGTAGATGTTGGGGCTCTCGCAGGCCGTGGCAAACTTGTAGGGTCGCGCAGGATTCCAGGCAACACAGAATGCATCGCCCTGAGATGTTGGTGTGTAGCGCTGTTTGCAGTGATCTCGCCTGACACCGTGCAGGGGATAGAACTCGGCAAAGATAACTTCTTCGGGCACATGGCAGGCGGGCTGCGAAAGTCATCAGAACCCAAACAGCCAGGACCATATGCCACGCGCATTCCAGGGCTGGCATGCAGCTGCAAGCCTCCCACCATGTGGCCTTGGATCAGGGGCTGCGGCAGCAGGCTTGTCGCCTCGGTCCGTGCTCGCTGCTGGCTCCTGGGCCGCGGCGCCGGCGTCGCCAACGATTCCATCACCGCAGCCCAGGCACCTCCGCTGGTGACATCCTCGCCAGAGCTGCTGAATCTGTCCGCCGTGCCACCGCCACTCGTGCTGCCAGCCACCAGCCGCGGCGAGCTGCTGGCGTCGCTGCAGCTAGCAAGCCCTGTTTTGCCAGCCTCATCGCTTGTGGTGCGGCCCTGAAGCTCAGCTGACACCAGCGGTCCAATTGTTGATGCGGGGCTGCTACCTGTGACACTGACAGCGCGGCAAGCGGCCACCCAGGCCGCCGCCTGCGGCGGCAAGCAAATCAAGGTAATCAGCGCGGACACTTGCAGACATGCGTGTCAAACTCCTGGGGTTTTCCAAGGGTCCTTCCCAACACACTCAACCTGTGTGTAGTGTCTGGTTGGTGTGAGGCTTTATAATGCCCCCGGAAACCTCAGCCCAAGCAGCCTCACCGCCGCAGCCGGCCCCGTGGGTGGTGTCACAGCCAACGCCTGCCCAGGGATCTCCCACAAGTCGCAGGGCGTCCCGACCAGGACACTGGGTGCGGGCCAAGCCTGCTGATGTGCGGACAACATGGCGCCAGGCCCTCGGGTGGCGTCCAGTGCAGCTGCTGCCGTGTCCTCCTGCGGTGGGCTGTAAAAGTCCAAGGCCCTGAAAGAGGCCGGCTCTGACTCGGCAGGGTCCTCAAACTGCAGGGGCAAGTGATTGAGGCGGGTTGCAGGATGGGGGATGATTGGGACGAGCCATCTTTTGATAGGAGGATTGCGCTGCTGGAAGGACAGGCACAGCCATGCGTCCATGTGTAAATGTCAGCCTCACCCCTCCGCGCCTTCAGCAGCCAAGCCGATCATGATGTTCCTTACCCTCCATGTTTTTTGGACGCAAATCGGCCCGTACCTGCAGGCTGGCGGTGACGCGCCCTACGCCGCCGTCCCCAGCCGCATCCCAGGCTACCAGGCGGCCATCGTCGCCGGCGCTCACGAGCTCGCGGCCCCCGCACCGCAGCGCCAGAGCACGTACTGCCTGCTTCAAACAGGGCGGAAAGGGCCGGTTGCAACATGAACAGCAAACCTTCTGCAGTGTAGCCACCATCTTCCACTACTCTATCAGGTTGCGCAAAGCTCCCAACAAGCACCCCCCTGACCCTGACCAGAAACCCGCCTGCGTCATCAACCCACCATGATGGAGACGTCGCTGCCACCAGGGTGAGGGGACCGGGCCCTCCCCAAAAGCCCATGTGCCTCAATGACCTGCAGTACACAATTAGGCAGTTATTGTAGCCGAGTCACAAAGGATACTCGCATGTGGATCAAAAGCCATTGCAGATGCGGCTTCTTCAAGCAAGCCGTCCCAACCCTGTTGCAACCACGGGGCGTACCCGGACGCAGCGCCCCAGGCCTCCGCGAGTCTCTGATGCGTCCCACTGCAGCAGCCGGCCGCCTGATGTGCCCGTGACCAGCCAGCCGCCGCGCAGGAACGTGGCAGAGTGGATGTCGGCGCGGTCAGAGGCGGAGGCCCAGCGCCCCTGGGTAGTGCGGTAGAACTCACGGCCATCCTGTTTGGAAGTGATCAAAGAGGATGGCGTAATGTGCATCTTGTCAGGGGTAGAATGGTTGCATGCGACTAGCATTATGCCTCAAGATGCGGCTGCCTTCAAGGTAACAGCCGGTTACAATGTGGCCGCCTGCCTGGAAGTCCGGAGGCAGTCGCCGCACCTCGTCCCAGGACCGGACCCAGAACTTGACGTGCTTGACTCCCCACGTTGCAAACATCAGCGGCTGTAAGTCCTCCCCGACAATGGGTGCTGGGCTTGAGAATGGCCGCGCCACGGGCCGCGGCGAGGGGCGCGGCGAGGAGCGGGCCGATGTGCCGGGTGTGCTATCGCCCTGACTGGCCGGGTGGTACGGGTTGAAGGTCACGCCGTGGACCTGGGCGGTGTGTTTTTGTGTTTGTTTGGGGCAGGTG